AAGTGCACCGTGGACTCCCGGATGTTGAACTTAACAAATTGACACTCTTGTTTATGGCATCACTAATCTCCCTATGTCCCAGGTCCTGGACCTTTCAAGGCTATGGAAGCCTTTTGAGTTCACCGACTCTTATCTTATTTAGACAAGGTCATAGTCAAAGTGGAAGTTCTCTCCTCCCTTCAGAGAAAGGTACCTCCTTCTTTGATGACCTGTTCTTTCCACTGGGATCTCACTCGCGGAGATCTTTCATTTAGGTCCCCCCCTCCCCCGGAGTGTCTTGGCTTTCCATGCCTGAAATACTCTCATGGGCTTTTCAGCTGGATCCGAATGCCTTTAGGGCTGATTCTGAGGCCAGAGTGCTATTTAGGACATCCGCCATTCTTTTTTTTTTTTTTTTTTTGACAGGCAGAGTGGACAGTGAGAGAGAGAGACAGAGAGAAAGGTCTTCCTTTGCTGTTGGTTCACCCTCCAATGGCCGCCGCGGCCAGCGCGCTGCGGCCAGCGCACCGCGCTGATCCGATGGCAGGAGCCAGGAGCCAGGTGCTTTTCCTGGTCTCCCATGGGGTGCAGGGCCCAAGCACCTGGGCCATCCTCCACTGCACTCCCTGGCCACAGCAGAGGGCTGGCCTGGAAGAGGGGCAACTGGGACAGAATCCGGTGCCCCGACCGGGACTAGAACCCGGTGTGCCGGCGCCGCTAGGCGGAGGATTAGCCTAGTGAGCCGCGGCGCCGGCCCGACATCCGCCATTCTATGAGTCTGCTGTGTATCCCACTTCCCATGTTGGATCGTTCTCTCCCTTTTTTGTTCTATCGGTTAGTATTCTCAGACACTAGTCTTGATTATGTGATCTCTTTGATTCTTAGTCCTATCATTATGATCAATTGTGAACAGAAATTGATCACTGGGACTAGTGAGATGGCATTGGTAAATGCCACCTTGATGGGATTGAATTGGAATCCCCTGATATGTTTCTAACTCTACCATTTGGGGCAAGTCAGCTTGAGCATGACCCAAATTGTATATCCCTTCCCTCTCTTATTCCCACTCTCATATTTAACAGGGATCACTTTTCAGTTAAGTTTCAACACTTAAGAATAACTGTGTATTAATTACAGAATTAAACCAATAGTATTAAGTAGAACAGACAAAAAAATACTAAGAGGGATAACGTATTAAGTTGTTAATCAACAGTCAGGGCAATGGCTGATCAAGTCACCATTTCTCATAGTGTCCATTTCACTTCAACAGGTTTCCTTTCTGGTGCTCAGTCAGTTGTCACTGATCATGGAGAACATATGATATTTGTCCCTTTGGGACTGGCTTATTTCACTCAGCATGATGTGTTCCAGATTCCTCCATTTTGTTGCAAATGACCGCATTTCATTGTTTTTGACTGCTGTATAGTATTCTATAGAGTACATATCCCATAATTTCTTTATCCAGTCTACTGTTGATGGGCATTTAGGTTGATTCCAGGTCGTAGCTATTGTGAATTGAGCTGCAATAAACATTAAGGTGCAGATCACTTTTTTGTTTGCCAATTTAATTTCCTTTGGGTAGATTCCAAGGAGTGGGATGGCTGGGTTGAATGGTAGGGTTATATTCAGGTTTCTGAGGAATCTCCAGACTGACTTCCATAGTGGCTTAACCAGTTTGCATTCCCACCAACAGTGGGTTAGTGTCCCTTTTTCCCCACATCCTCTCCAGCATCTGTTGTTGGTAGATTTCTGAATGTGAGCCATTCTCACCGGGGTGAGGTGAAACCTCATTGTGGTTTTGATTTGCATTTCCCTGATTGCTAGTGATCTTGAACATTTTTTTCATGTGCCTGTTGTCCATTTGGATTTCCTCTTTTGAAAAATGTCTATTGAGGTCCTTGGCCCATCTCTTAAGTGGGTTGTTGGTTTTGTTGTTGTGGAGTTTCTTGATCTCTTTGTAGATTTTGGTTATTAACCCTTTATCTGTTGCATAGTTTGCAAATATTTTTTTCCCATTCTGTCGGTTGTCTCTTCGCTTTCCTGACTGTTTCTTTTGCGGTACAGAAACTTCTCAATTTGATGCAATCCCAATAGTTAATTTTGGCTTTGACTGCCTGTGCCTTCCGGGTCTTTTCCAGGAAGTCTTTGCCGGTGCCAATATCTTGAAGGGTTTCTCCAATGTTCTCTAATAACTTGATGGTGCCGGGTCATAGATTTAGGTCTTTAATCCATGTTGAGTGGATTTTTGTGTAAGGTGTAAGGTAGGGGTCTTGCTTCATGATTCTGCACGTGGAAATCCAGTTTTCCCAGCACCATTTATTGAATAGACTGTCCTTGCTCCAGGAATTGGTTTTAGATCCTTGATCAAATATGAGTTGGCTGTAGATGTTTGGGTTGATTTCTGGTGTTTCAATTCTGTTCCATTGGTCTATCCATCTGTTTCTGTACCATGTTTTCTGTACCATGCTGTTTTGATTACAACTGCCCTGTAGTATGTCCTGAAATCTGATATTGTGATGCCTCCAACTTTGTTTTCGTTGTACAAGATTGCTTTAGCTATTCGAGGTCTCCTGTGTCTCCATATGAATTTCAGCATCATTTTTTCTAGATCTGAGAAGAATGTCTTTGGTATCTTGATTGGGATTGCATTGAATCTATAAATTGCTTTTGGGAGAATGGACATTTTGATGATGTTGATTCTTCCAATCCATGAGCATGGAAGATTTTTCCATTTTTTGGTATCCTCTTCTATTTCTTTCTTTAAGATTTTGTAATTCTCATCGTAGAGATCTTTAACGTCCTTGGTTAAGTTTATTCCAAGGTATTTGATTGTTTTTGTAGCTATTGTGAATGGGATTGATCTTAGCAGTTCTTTCTCAGCCATGGCATTGCTTGTGTATACAAAGGCTGTTGATTTTTGTGCATTGATTTTATACCCTGCCACTTTTCCAAACTCTTCTATGAGTTCCAATAGTCTCTCTCTCTCTCTCTCTCTCTCTCTCTCTGTTTTTTTTTTTTTTTTTGACAGGCAGAGTGGACAGTAAGAGAGAGAGAGACAGAGAGAAAGGTCTTCCTTTGCCGTTGGTTCACCCTCCAATGGCCGCTGCGGCCAGCGCGCTGCGGCCAGGGCACCGTGCTGATCTGATGGCAGGAGCCAGGTACTTACTCTGGTCTCCCATGGGGTGCAGGGCTCAAGCACTTGGGCCATCCTCCACTACACTCCCTGGCCACAGCAGAGAGCTGGCCTGGAAGAGGGGCAACCGGGACAGAATCCGGCGCCCCGACCAGGACTAGAACCTGGTGTGCCGGTGCCGCAAGGTGGAGGATTAGCCTAGTGAGCTGCGGCGCCGGCCCCAGTAGTCTCTTAGTAGAGTTCTTTGGATCCCCTAAATAAAGAATCATATCGTCTGCAAAGAGGGATAGTTTGACTTCTTCCTTCTCAATTTGTATCTCTTTAATTTCTTTTTCTTGCCTGATGGCTCTGGCTAAACCTTCCAGAACTATATTAAATAGCAGTGGTGAGAGTGGGCATCCCTGTCTGGTACCAGATCTCAGTGGAAATGCTTCCAACTTTTCCCCATTCAATAGGATGCTGGCCGTGGGTTTTTCATAAATTGCTTTGATTATATTGAGGAATGTTCCTTCTATACCCAATTTGCTTAGAGTTTTCATCATGAAAGGGTGTTGAATTTTATCCAATGCTTTCTCTGCAGCTATTGAGATAATCATATGGTTTTTCTTCTGCAGTTTGTTAATGTGGTATATCACATTGATTGATTTGCGAACATTGAACCATCCCTGCATACCAGGGATAAATCCCACTTGGTCTGGGTGGATGATTTTTCTGATGTGTTGTTGTATTCTATTGGCGAGAATTTTATTGAGGATTTTTGCATCTATGTTCATCAGGGATATTGGTCTGTAATTTTCTTTCAATGTTGCGTCTTTCTCTGGCTTAGGGATTAAGGTGATGCTGGCTTCATAGAAAGAATTTGGGAGGATTCCATCTTTTTCAATTGTTCTGAATAGTTTGAGAAGAAATGGGATTAGTTCTTCTTTAAATGTCTGGTAGAATTCAGCAGTGAATCCATCTGGTCCTGGGCTTTTCCTTGTTGGGAGGGCCTTTATTACTGTTTCAATTTCTGTTTCAGTTATGGGTCTATATAGGTTTTCTATGTCTTCATGGTTCAATTTAGGTAGATTGCATGTGTCCAGGAATCTATCCATTTCTGATAGAGTAAAATCATGTTTTCAAAGAATTTGAATTGTTGGGGCTGGCATTGTGGCATAGTGAGTTAAGCCACTGCCTGTAATTGCAGCATCCCATATATGCACCGGTGTGAGTCCTAGCTGCCCCACCTCTGATCCACCTCCCTGCTAATGTGCCTAGGAAAGTAGCAGAGGATGGCTCAATTACATTGGCCCCTGCAGCACACTCCTGGCTCCTGGCTTTGGCCTGGCCCAGCCCTGGCTGTTGTGGCCATTTGGGGGAGTGAATCAGAGGATGAAATATCACCCCCTTCCTTTCTCTCCCTCTCTCTCTCTCTCTTTCTCTCTCTGTGTCTCCCTCTCTGTCTCTCCTCTCTCTAACTCTGCCTTTAAAATAAATAAATCTTTTTTAAGAATTTTAATTACTCAGGAAAAACTTTTATGTTGCAATTTAATCAAAACATAAAGGATAAAATAAGATACAAATTATAATATGAAGTGTGAGCTATTGTTCTTGATCAAATGTACAAGGTGATCTCAATCATGTAAGTTATTTTGTAGAATGATAATGGTAGAAATTAAGTGAAAAATTGACTGCAATTTTTTAAAAAGTTATATTTATTTATTTGAAAGGTGTCATTTATTTGAAAGGGTGTCAGAGAGAGGGAGAGGTAGAGAGAAAAAGAGATCTTCCATCTTCCCTCCCCCTATGGCAGCAAGAGCCAGGGCTGGGTCAGGCCAAAGACTCCACCCAGATCTCCCATTTGGATGGCTGGGGCCTAATTTTGTGTCATCATCCACTGCGTTCTCAGGTGCAAGGAAACCAGAACAGAAGCAAAGCGGCTGGAACTTGAACCACATTCCAGTGGTGAGTGCTCGCCAGCACCACAAGTAGCAGTAGCTCGCTGCTGTGCCACGATGCTGCCCCTGACTCCAATTTTGTTTTTACATATGGGAAGGGGCTTCAGAAAAATTCATGGAAGATGCGTGTTGTATGGAAAAACTATGTGTAGATTTCAAAAACATTTTTGTACCATAATAAACTTATCTTTTATTTTTCCACTAATTTTTGAAGTACCCTCATGTACATGCATATCCAGGAAAAAAATAACACTGAAATGATATACCCCAAAATATTGACAGTGTCTACTTATGAATGTCATGATAATACTTTATTTATACTCTCTAAAGTTCCTACAAAGTTTGTGCTACTTTTATAATCAGAAAGTCAATAATGTTTTTAATGCATGGCAAATAAAAAGACTAGAAGTAAATCACAAAACTATTAACAGTGGTTACTTCTAGATTGAGATTTAGGGGAAGTTTTTACCTTTTTAAGCTTCTGATATTTCTAAACATCTGCACTGATTGCATGTTGTTTTATAATTCAAAAAAGAAGAAATTCGTTTTCTAAAGATCTGTAATACAATTCTCTAGTCCTAGAGGACAGAACTCCCCCTTCCAGAGCAGTGTCCAGAGACCTGTCTGCTTGCATTCATTTAGGGTGATAATGTTTCAAGTTCAGTAACTGGCTGAAGCAACCATCAGTGCAGAATTATTAAGTGGCTCCTCCAGCCCTGGCTCCTTCTCCTGGCTCGGTGCCTTAGTGCTGCTGGGAATGCCAAGGACTGGGAGGGTTTGCAGGGGCCAGTGTGAGACGCTTTCATAACTGTCCTTTAGTTGATTGAAAGGGAAAATAATGCAATGCTATCCTGTTAATGTGATTCTTTATTCAGCATGTTGACAATTTCAAATGTACTTGAAATGTACTTCTGAGCTTATCAGGATAGCATGCTTTCCAAAATATGGGCTCTACAATCCAAGGGATCTGAGTTTGAGCCCTGACTGTGCCACCTGCCAGCTGTGTGACCCTGTGTGACATGTTGCCTCATCTCTTTACACTTTACACTTCACTTTCTTGAAAATCCTGATGGCACTACCTATAACCCAGAACTGTCATGATAATTGAGAAAATTCATGATAGCATATCTGTGGGCCTTAATACAAGTAAGCTACTATCCTCCTCCTCATCATTATCACCACTGGGTCAAACAGTGTCCTAGCTGATAGTTCGAGTTCTGACTCTGTAGGAACTCACCAAATGAAGCCTCCAAACAAATGAAACATTAAAATGACATTGAGTAGAGAAATCGGAACCCTCATATACTGTCTATACAATGGGCAGCCACTCTGGAAGACAGCCTGGCGATTCATGACAGCACTGAACACAGTTACCCTGAACCCAGGAGTTCCCTCTTAGGTGTCCACCCAAGATAAATGAAAATGAGTGCCCCACGTTATAGCATTACTCACAATAGCAAAAAAGTAGAAACAGCCCAAATGTCCACCAGCTGAAGAACAGATCATTACCGTGTGGCCCGTCCACACAGTGGGATGTGATTTGGCAATAAAAAGCAATGAAGTCCTGACGCAGCCTCAGTGTGGAGTAACCTTGAAAACACTATGCTAATTGAAGTATGCCAGTCATTAAAAACCACATATGATGCGGTGTTTAGTATCTTTAAAGATTTATGTATTTATTTGAAAGGCTGAGTGACAGAGAGAAAAGGAGAGAGACAGAGAAAGAGAGAGATCTTCCATCCAAGATTTACTCCTCAAATGGTTGCAATGACTGGGGCTTGGCCAGGCCATAGCTAGGAGCTGCAGATTCCATGCAGTGGTCCAAGTACTTAAGCCATCTCCCATTGTCTGCAGGTGCATTAGCAGGAAGCTGGATCAGAAGTGAGGCAGCTGGGACTCAAACAGGTGCTCAGATATGGGATGTCAGCATTGAGAGCAGCGGCTTGGGGCCAGCACTGTGGCTCACTTGGTTAATCCTCTGCCTGCGGCGTCAGCATCTAATATGGGCACTGGGTTCTAGTCCCGGTTGCTCCTCTTCCAGTCCAGCTCTCTGCTGTGGCCCGGGGAAAGCAGTGGAGGATGGCCCAAGTGCCTGGGCCCCTGCACCCACATGGGAGACCAGGAGGAAGCACCTGCCTCCTGGCTTCGGATCGGCATAGCTCTGGCTGTGGCAGCCATTTGGGGAGAGAACCAACAGAAGGAAGACCTTTCTTTCTGTCTGTCTCTCTGTCTATGACTCTACCTGTCAAAAAAAAAAAAAAAAAAAAAAAGCAAGTAAGCGGCGGTTTAACCAACTGCACCATATTTAACATTTTTATTGATTTTTATTGATTTTTGCTTATTCGAAAAGCACAGCAACAAAGAGAGAAAGGGAAGAAAAGAGAGGGAGAGACCACAGGTTCACTCCCCAATTTCCCATTACAGCCAGGTCTGGGCCAGGCTGGAATTCAGTCTTGGTCTCTCACATGGGAGGCAGGGACCTAGAGATACTTGAGCCATCACCTGGTGTGCATTAATGACAAACTGGATCCGAAGCAGGGCCAAGGCTTGAACCCAGCGACTCTGATACAGCACACAGGTGTGCCACTGCAGCAAACATTTGCCCCACATTATTCCATTTATATGAAATGTCTAGAATCTAAATCTATAGAGAAAAAATATCTATAGCAAATCTAAGGAGAAAGAAAGTAGATTAGGGGCCGGCGCTGTGGCATAGCGGGTAAAGCCACCACCTGCAGTGCCAGCATCCCACATGGGTGCCAGTTCGAGTCCCAGCTGCTCCATTTCCAGTCCATCTCTCTGTTATGGTCTGGGAAAGCAGTAGAGGATTGCCTAAGTCCTTGGGCCCCTGCACCCGTGTGGGGAGACCCAGAAGAAGCTCCTGGCTCCTGGCTTGGATCGGCCCTGCTCTGGCCATTGAGGCCATCTGGGGAGTGAACCAATAATGAAAGACTCTCTTTCTCTCTCTCTCTCTCTCTCTCTCTCTCTCTCTCTCTCTCTCTCTCTCCCCCTCTCCCTATCCCTCTTCCTCTCCCTCTCTCCCTCCCTCTCCTGCCTCTTTATAACTCTGCCTTTCAAATAAATAAATCTTTAAAAAAAATAATAAACACTGATCACTTTTGAAAAAAATTAGGTTAGTGTTTTCGAGAGCTGACAGGGAGGTAGGGAGAGGGACTGATAGCTAAGGGCACTGGATTTTTCTGCAGGTGATGAAAATGTTCTAAAGTTGATTGTGATGATGACCTCACAGCTTTGTGAATAGACTAAAAATCACAGAATAGCAGCCTTCAAAGGGATGAATTGTATGGTGTGTGAGTTCTATCTGAATAAATCTGTTACCCCAAAAAATGGCATTGTTAGATGTAGACATTTGAATCACAGTGCATTATCATGAGGTTAACAATACGACTGGGACAAGGCTATGTAATTAGCCAGCTGGGAAATACAGGGTCTGGCCACACCGTCCCAATCTTTTCCCAGTGCTGTCTGGGGTTTGTCATCCAATGGTTGCTGTCCACTTCAGCTTGCATGTTGATGGGAATTCCTTGGGAGTGGGGTATAACAGACAGTTGTTCTGTTGCATTGGCCCAATTCAGACAGATTAGGCTGAGAGAACCCTTCCCCAGCCAGCACCCCGTCCATCCCACGCACCCTCCTGTTCTCTGTTACATATGACCTTTGTCCAGCATTATCATGGGGCAAATAGGCTATATAATAGGACCATATTTATACTTCTGTATCTGCCCGTGTGAGTAAAAAATTTCACATGTAAAAGATACATGCATGAAAGAGAATCAGAAAGATAGTTTCTCCTATTCCTGTGATGTCTCTCATAAAAAAGATAAACTCCATTTTAAATCATAAACAATGGGGAAAATGTGGGTGTGGATGCCATTCACATTATTCAAATTCTTTTTAACTTTATAAAATGAGCTTTTCTCCTAATTTTCCAATTTCTTCTAATAGATCACTCTGCTATAAAAGCATATGATTTGTCCACCTTATCTCTCCATGATTCATAGAAAACATTGAAAAAATAAGAAATATTTCAAGGAAAGAAGGAGCTTTCATTTTTGAGTTGCCTGTCCCCATAGACCAGTTTGCCAGTGTGCCGTGTGTCCCACTGAGTCACAGTCTGCCAGTTGCACACACTATGGTTTTAGAAACAAGGGTGCCACCACGGAAGGGTTTACTTGTGACTTAGTGGAGAGCCTCATGCAAAGGGACACAGATCACGCAGTGACCCTAAGAAACATGAGAAGTGTGACTTCTAGGAAGAGGGAATTCTAGACACCTCGATTTGAATGACAAGAAATATTGCACCTGGCTCCTGGCTTCGGATCAGCGCGGTGCGCCGGCCGCGGTGGCCATTGAGGGGTGAACCAACGGAAAAAGGAAGACCTTTCTCTCGGTCTTTCTCTCTCACTGTCCACTCTGCCTGTCAAAAAAAAAACAAACAGACTCCTGGGAGCCAAGATGGCGGAATAGTGAGGGCGCGCACCGATAGTCCGGGAAAATTTAGTTTAATAAAAGGGGAGTTACGGTAGCCGCAGAAAAAAGAACCAGGAAAAAATTGCACGGGAATCGTGAATCGGAGGACCTACTGGGAGAACAAGGTCGCCCACCGCGCGGAAGCCAAGTCGCGGGACCGAGCCGCAGAAGCCCCAGTGCTCCAAGGGGAGTGCATGCCACACAGACAACAGCGGGGAGACTTGGGACGCTCAGGGCTCCGAGTCCACACATCGGCGCTGGAAGGGGAGGTGAGCTCAATAACCCGAGACATTGGTGGGGAAACGGGGGTCAGAATCTAGAGGGGGGCCGGAAAGTGCAGCAAACTCACTACCGGAAAGAAGGAAAAAAAAAAAAGCTTCGGGGTTTCTCTTCCCCCTAACCTTGCAAAGGTTACAAGGCTGCAAGGCTAGAAGAATTCCCAAGAGACAAAGAGCAGGCCTGCTCTCTGGATTTACATATCAATGGGGGAGAGCTAAGGAACTGAGTCACTACAATTCAGTAGCCTAGGCAACCCAGTGGGAGTCCAGAGGAGCCAAAGACTGGAAGCTAAATACCATCAATTCTGCACAGCCCTGCCCTGCGTGTTACTTACCCCTGATAAATAAAATAAATAA